CGCCTCACGGCCGCCGTCTCGCAACAACTTGACTTTTAAGGTGAAGTCCACAAGATTATCGATGTGCCGCTCTCCCGTCAGGCCAATAAATTGTGTAAGTAAAATAGTAGTATGTAGTACCCTGTACCGATAAGACGTAAGGACCGTTTCTATACTATTGCATGCTTATAATACACACATATATTATATTTCATGAATCAGCAATTAGACCCGCTTAGCCTCTCTCCTCCTCCCTTCAAATGCCTCCCCTTCTTTCCCTCCCTGCACTCACTTTTGCCCAAATCTGCCGACCGCCATTTTAGGGGTGTTCGTCCCAAAGCGTATTACAGAACTTGACTACGAACAAACACCAGCGGCACCACGCGCCTCTCTCGGGTCTCCCCGCTGCTCGCTCCATCCTCCTCCCTCGCCTTCCTTAAACTCCGCTCCGAAGCGCTGCCTGGCGGAACAGGCCATACCTGCTTGACTATGCTTGGTGTACGCAAGGTAGACACTAACGCACGGCGCTCCTCTGCGCCGGTCCCCGGCCTAACCCTTCTCTCTTGTTGCCAAAGCGGTCAGGCGCACGACGCACGGCAAGATTGCCCGAGCAGTTGCTCAAGACCCGCGCCCCCGCGGCGCGTTCCTCCTCACCGCTCCTCCGCAAAATCGCTCTCCCCTGCCTCTCTCCCCCCTATACGCCTCCTCCTCCTTCTAACTTGCGTGGGTGTAAGGAGCGAAACGAAACGCCGGCTCCATCTTTGGCTGCCACCCCCTGGCTGGACGGAGGGCTGCCACTGCTGTCCAGCGCACGCGCCCGCTCTCGCCTTCAAGCTGCCATTCAACACAGCGCCGGCTGGCAGAGTATCTCTCGAGCGGTCCTCTGCGCCATCCCTCTCCCCCTCCTCTCTCCCACCCTTCCCCTCGCTCCCTCCTCTTACTTGGTGGTAGTAGAACGAAACACAAGAAAAGTCACCGCTCTCAGTCGCCACGCGCCCACTTTTTCAACGCGAAGCGGGCGTTTCTCACATCCTCCCCAATGAGGGAGGAGGGGAAGGGGGGAGAGAGGAGGGGAGAGGATGGGGAGGAGGTGAGAGAACGCACGCGTGAAGAGCGGGGCGTGGGACGAGAGCGGCGTGTTCGTCTACACCACCAAGTAAGAGGAGGGAGGAGGGGGAGGGGGGGGAGAGGAGGGGAGGGAGGAGGGGAAGGGGGGAGAGAGGAGGGGAGAGGATGGGGAGGAGGTGAGAGAACGCACGCGTGAAGAGCGGGGCGTGGGACGAGAGCGGCGTGTTCGTCTACACCAACCAAGTGAGCAGAGGAGGGTAGGAAGGGGAGGGGGAGAGGATGGAGGAGGCAGGGAGAGAGGAGGTGCGTGTGTGGCGAAGGTGGGAGAACACGGGCGCGCAGAATGGAAAAGTGAGTGCAGGAGAAAGAAGGAGGCAGGAAAGAGGAGGAGAGGAGGGATATATATATATATATATATATATAAAGATAGATAGATATATATATACATATACATACTATATTTTACTTGCACAATTATTGCCTAAGTGAGAGGGCAACATGGAAATCTGTGGACTCATAAAATCAATGTTGGAGAGGCGGCGTGAGGTAACATCGATTATCTTTCGAAGCCTGACCCTCTCTCTCTCTCTCTCTGTCCCCCGCAGCAACCACATTAAGTACGCGCTCACCAACGGCGACCACGGCATCATCAGGACGCTGGACCTTCCCATCTACGTGACACGCGTCAAGGGCAACAGCGTCTACTGTCTGGACAGGGAGTGCAGGCCGCGAGTGCTGGGCATCGACCCGACCGAGTTCAAGTTCAAGCTGGCTCTCATCAATAGGTAGGTTGTGTGTGTGCGCGTATGTGTGCGTGCGTGCGTGCGTGCGTGCGTGTGCATGTGTAGTGTGCGTGTGTGTGTGTGCGTGTGTGTGTGTGTGTGCATGCGTGCGTGCGTGCGTGAGTGCATGTGTGCATATGTGCATGTGTGCGTGCGTGTGTAGTGTGCGTGCGTGCGCGCGTGTGTGTGTGTGCGTTGTGATGATAGTGACAGCAACATAAAGGTTGAGAATGAGAACCTTTACTCTTTATCTTACGCAGGCTCAGGGTTTCTTATACATAAGAGGCACAGTGGCGCACCACCGTTGTCAAATTTAACATCGCCGTTGTGAAAATGTTCCTGTATTTACTGATAAGTTTATCCTGTATCTATATACCTATAAGTATATCAATACATCCTGTATTTGAATCCATCATGCGCATTTTTTTCCCAAACTGGCCATTACCTCCTTTGTCTAATTTTCCCTCAGAAGAAACCCTGAGGCTGTACATGCAATTAATATCTGTAGTACTACACGTAGTAACTAACGCACAGGACGTGAGTAAGATATGTTAACACATGCAGACATATGTATGCAGATCTTAGGACGTGCAGAAAACACAGGTGTGATCTGTCTTGATTACGCGTTTTGCAGAAAGTACGACGAAGTTCTACACATGGTGCGCAATGCCAAGCTAGTCGGACAGTCGATTATCGCCTACCTGCAGCAGAAGGGTAAGCGTGAAGGCTCTGCCTCCCCTTCCATCTCCCTCAAGCCCAAATCTCGTGCTGGCTGACACCCGGAAAATCTCACGACACTCTAGTAGTGGTCTGGTGTCGTGCGGTCTGGTGGCGTAGTCTGGTTTGGTGTGGTGTGGTGTAGCGCGGTGCGGCACGATGTGGTGGCGTTTGTGGCATAGTGTGGTGTGATACAGCATGGCGTGGCATGGCGTGTGGTGTATCGTATCATATCGTGTGGAGTGGCGTGGCGTGGCGTGGCGTGGCACGGCGTGTGGTGCAGTGCAACGCAGCGTAGAATGGTGCTGTATATATCGTAACTAGCCTAACGAAGGATCGATAGCGGGTGCTAACATCCTTGCCATGTCCCATCAACCCTAACACCCTCGATGCGTCGCCGCAGGTTACCCAGAGGTGGCGCTGCACTTTGTCAAGGATGAGAAGACGCGCTTCGGACTGTCGCTGGAGTGCGGAAACCTGGAGATCGCCCTGGAAGCTGCGCGGGCGCTCGACAACAAGGCCTGCTGGGAGAGGCTGGGAGAGGCCGCTCTGCTGCAAGGTATACATCCCTGTGGTCACTCGATTTCTTTTATGTTCGTTTGCAGTTGGCATTAATCAGCAGCATATATATCTATATCTACATATACGTATATACACAGCTACATATACGGGGTGCGAAATTAACGCGAGTCCAGAGTCAAATACTTCCTGATATACTGTCGGACTCCCTGATTTGACATATGCAGGAGTCCGTGTGACTCCCTGAAAATTCTGTTATACAAGTTAGTAGTAGTTCGTTCCAGAGGAAGGCTTCGCGGATTTCCCAATTTTTTCAGCAAATGTCCAAAGAAAATTTGGCAGACGTGCATGGCAATAATTTTCAAAACAAGCACATGTGTTATTGCTGCTATGCTTTAGTTTTGAACTTCAGACTGCAGACTCCCTCATTTTGCTACGGACTCCTTCTTTTTGAGGGCAGGGAGTTCGTTGGACTCCCTTGTTCAAAAGTTAATTTCTACCCCTGCATATACATATACGTTTATACATATACATATAACAGCTGGATGGCACATGGCTGGAATTTATTGTCACTCGGCCGTCATATTGGCTCATCCAAACATGAAATAGGGTGGATCATGTTGGTAGGAGTTGACAACGAACCACACAGAGTGCCTCCCATGTCATCCCACTCTGCAACTCTCCCAAGCTGACTTCTCCCTCTGCTGCAGGCAACCACCAAATCGTCGAGATGGCATACCAGCGCACGAAGAACTTTGACCGGCTCTCCTTCCTCTACCTGATCACGGGCAACCTGGAGAAGCTGCGCAAGATGATGAAGATCGCCGAGATACGCAAGGACACGAGCGGACACTTCCAGAACGCACTCTTCCTCGGCGACACCGCCGAGAGAGTGAAGATACTGAAGAACTGCGGACAGGTGAGCGTGGGCCGGGAAGGAGAGAGGGGGGAGGGTGGAGGGAGGGGAGGAGGAGGGGGTGAGAGAGTGAAGATGCTGAAGTACTGCGGACAGGTGAGCCGGGAAGGAGGAGTGAGGGAATGAAGAGGGAGGGAGGGGAAGGTACGAGGGCGAATACACTGAATAACTGTAGACAGTTGTATATGACCCAGGCTGATGAGAGGAAGGGGTGAGGGGGATGAGAGGAGGGGAGGGGAACAAGAAGGGTGTGTGTGAGGTAAGCGGCTGGTCTCGGAGGCGAGCGGCGGAGGTGAAAAGCAAGAGTTTGAGAGCAAAGGTGATCATGATACTAACATAACATAATAACATAACATGCCTGATAATGATCGATAAACCACACAGCCCCCATTCCCAACCCATCGCGCATCACAGATTATATCTCCCACTAGTGTTTACACCTGGCATTTCAACGTCCTTGATTCCTTTCCTCCTCTCAGAACTCGCTAGCCTACCTGTCATGCACATCACGCCTTATCGCACGCCAGCGTTCTCACCTGGCATTTCGACATCTGTGACATCTCTTGCTTTGCAGAACTCGCTAGCCTACCTGTCATGCACATCACGCCTTATCGCACGCCAGCGTTCTCACCTGGCATTTCGACATCTGTGACATCTCTTGCTTTGCAGAACTCGCTAGCCTACCTGTCATGCACATCACGCCTTATCGCACGCCAGCGTTCTCACCTGGCATTTCGACATCTGTGACATCTCTTGCTTTGCAGAACTCGCTAGCCTACCTGTCATGCACATCACACTTAATCGCACGCCAGCGTTCTCACCTGGCATTTCGTAATCTGTGACATCTCTTTGCTTTGCAGAACTCGCTAGCCTACCTGTCATGCACATCACA